CCACTGCCTCCGAGCCTTTCTTTTCGGGGTGGATTGTGTTGCGGGCAGAAACCGACATGGTTAAAAAAAAAAAAAGAAAAAAAAAAAGACATGGATGATGGACCACATGGTGCATTTCTTTCGGCGCGGTACATGTTTTTCAGCTTTCCGGCTGGCACTGCCAGCCACAGAGGTCCGTCCAGGAGGCCGAGCCCCTCAAGAATGTGGTGGTGAACCAATTTGCCGGCCTCCATTGCCTGAGAAAGGTAGAGGTGGTTTTTTAAGACAAGGAAAGAAGTGAAATCATTGACAACAAGTCGTGACTTTAAAGTTCAAATTTTGAACTTTAAATCGAAATCAAAAACACCTTTATTGCAGTGAAACTTGTGAAAGATTCTTCTTGCTCCTTTTTTTTCTTCAGAAAAGGGAAAAGAAGAAACAGGTTAAAAGTAGGGGGGGGGGGGAAGGAGAGTTGGCAGTATTGGTGGTGTGGTGACCTGATGGCCAAAGCAAACCCAAAGCACTTTCCTGCGTTTGTCGATCAACTTGACGAGCATGTCTGTGAGTACTTGAATCTCTTTTTCTTAAGGGGCCCAAGGGTGAAAAAAAGAATTGGCAGTATTTGCGGTTTGGTGTCTGACCTGATGGCCAAAGCAAACACCAAGTATTTTCCTGCGTTCGTCGTTCAGCTTGACGAGCATGTTTGCAAGTTGTTGAATCCAGGGATCGCTGCCATGAGCATCTTTGCCGCTTCCTGTGAGGACAAAGCCATCGTACAAATCCCAGTCCTCTTCAGAGGGAAACTCTCCATCCACCACGCGGAAGACATCCCAATGTTCTCCAGGATCTCTTAGCATGTCGATGAACAGTCTGTCATAGCCCTCTGAGCCCTCTCCTCCTATCAGTTCAGCTACTGGCTTTGGGGGGTAGCCGGTAATAAGCACCGCAAAACGGCCCCTTGGCGCGCCAGCTTTCTTGTCCTTCATTGCGCGGCCTTCTAGAGGTTCGCTGTCTGTCCCGTCAGGAGAAGTCGATGGCGAAGATTGAACAAACGCCTCGTTAGCCGCAAATGACATGTATCGACCAAGCGAAAAACGAATGATCCTCCTCCTCTCTGGTGTCACCGATTGAGCTGGCAGCACTTCAATGCAGAAAACAGAAGGCAAAGATGACGATGAGGAGGAGGAAGAGGGGCAGGAGGAGGCGGCAAAGTGGGAAAACAGTGTGCAACGAGCACGTGGAAGATGAAGAAGACGCGCATCGATGCCTCCACCACGTGTGGCTGTCGCCAGAGATAAGGCCGGTTGTTGAGGACCGTCGTAACTTTTGAGATGATGGTGACTTTTGCCAGGGTTGACAGCTACGGGAGCATGCCGAGAGACGAGGAGTGGTCTGTCCAACCCGCCATACCTGTCCCCATCGCCGCAGCTGGTAACCTTCAGCTGTGGGCAAGGTAGACGATGTCCATATCGGTGGGGCCCCAAAAGTACAGAAGCAAGAGGACCGTGAGGATGCGGTGACAAAAACAATCGTTGTCGCTGATTGCACACAGACCTTCCTCTCGATCCACCGGATTGAAATTGCAAGGAGACAGAGAGTCGAGATGAAGTGCTGCTCAACTTACAGTTCGGAGCCGAGAGAATAATTGACCGGCAGCATGCTGCAGCCAAAGTATGTGAATGGCCGCATCGCCCAAAAGATACCTCGTGACTGATCGCAATGCGGCTGCTGTGATGGCGCTCTTGTCGAAATGTTGATGTCAACTCTGCAACGATCAAGTTGCTACTGCAGGATGAATATCTGGCACCCCCGATAACAGCAGACCCACAACCACTTATTGGTCCAGCCATATATACCAAGCCGTTTCAATTAGACCAATCAATTTGCTGCAATTGTGGTCCGCTCCGATCCTTGCTACGTGGATGGACGTGCAAAGCAGAACTCAGGCTGAGTAATATTGCTTCTCTTGGCTGATATTGGCTTACTGGATTGCCCCTCCAAGCCACACAATGGTGCCGGTTGCCTTACAGAAGTGCCCCTTCAAGCTACATAATGGTGCTGGTTGCCTTGCAGAATTGCCCCTTCCTGCTACATACGCTTCACGCCACGCACGAGGAGTCGCAGCCGCGCAGCGGCACATGATCTCTCATACATTGTTTATATCCTCGGTCGTTTCCTGGCTATCACCCATCCGTTATTCGAATTGCTGAGGTCTCTCCCTGATGACAGTGTTATTGTGTATTCGTTAAATGGTGTTTATAAAGGGCTTGCTCTGCAGCAATACCTCCTTTCTATCCCATCACACCACACAGATGCACACAAAAAAAGGAGAGCATTTTCATGAATCACTGGATCAGGTAAATTCCACGCCACACACAATCGCGATCTGTCAGACAAAGTGAAACATGACCCCGGGGGGTATGCAAAAAGATGCTCATGGACTTTAACACAAGGCAAATAGCGGAGAGAGAGAGAGAGAGAGAGAGAGAGAGAGAGAGAGAGAGAGAGAGAGAGAGAGAGAG